CTCACCATCAAAAGCATTGGCTATCAGAAAACAATTCCTGAAGCAAAGTTTTTACTTTCTTAGCTAACAAAAATAGTGATGTTGAGGGCTGAGGTTTCTGTTAATTTTGTTTCAGTGTGTGTTTGGTTGAGAGTTTTTTAGAGAGAGAAGCGGACTTGCAGCACAATTTTCCATTTTTAGTATATTTGTTTTGGTAATAGAGAGGGTGAAACAGAGATATGCTATTACTATGTTATTCTTGCCTCCATCATAAAAACAATGATACTAGAAACATTCTGGGATTATTTTTATTATTTATGTGAGCCAAATTCGTGTGTGCATCCCAAAAAGTGATGTCTGACAAAAAATTAGGTTTGATTTAGTGTGAGAAAACACACTTCCATATATCTTGAATCCAGTGCATCGTAATTTCTTATGATGACTCATAGATTATTTATTAAGCAAAACTATATATCACTGTCAAACCTCTCAGTTCTCTTCTGAACTGAGGCTGAAGAATCCTACCTTATTTATTGTATAATTTTGATCGCCCTAATCAGTATATCTTCTAGTATTTATATTCTTATCTATTTAGAGGAGAAAGGTCAGAACTGCGAAAAATCTGAATGATGCACCTGCATCTTTACTTAAGCAAGAGAATTTGTTCTGTTTGACACCCCTACCTTATTTCTAAACACTCATTCTGTTTGTTTGTTTGTTTGTTTGTTTGTTTGTTTGTTTTTGGGTGGGTTTTTTTGCTGGGTTTTGTTTGGTTTGTTTTGTTTTTATTTTGTTTGGTTTTGTTTTTAGGGGTTTTTTTGAGTGAGACTGAACAGTAAACTTCTGGAATCCTATCGCTGTGTAAGGAAAGACAAGATGTATTTTTTCTGAGTGTTGCTAAATTTATTTTATCTGCAGTCACTCAGTGTAGGAGACAATATTCTGTAACTTTCAGATGTGATCCCAGTCCATGACAAGCCAAATTCTCATCCTTAATTGTTTTTGAATGCTCATTTTGATTAGCTGAATTTTCTTTGGAATGGAAAAGTGATATTTAACTTTTATATTAATATTTAATGATATTTGAAGTCAATATATTATAGCACCTTATAGAAGTTACAGTACAAAAACGTTGTTCTCCAACCAGCATGTTTTCATCATATCCCCTCTATTAATTCTATGCCCTCCTAAATAAGCATGACACACTATATGTATCATTAATTAGCCATCATAATTTCACTGATGATGCATAAACATAATCAGAATATTCATCAGGGGATCCAAACTGATTTGAAACAAGCTTAACTTACTAGGGTTGGGCAAAAGATGATTCCTTCTTTCTTGCATATATAAAGCACTGTACTTCAGAGGGACCTGGAGCATTTGTGCATTTTCCTTACAACTCTACAAAAGGCACAAATTAGAGTAAGTAGAAATGTAAAGCCTGTTATTGTAGGGTTGTAGCATGTGGTTGGTTCTTTATCACACAGAGCAATATTTCAATCCTCTCCATAATTCAGGGTATTTTTATTTTCAACACATCACGAGAATATTCTAAATTCAAGGCATACTTCTTGCTCTACCACTTTTAATATTCAAACATGAAGTCATGTGTGAGTGAATCTATGGTAATTTTATGCTCCAAAAGATAAGGGTGGAAACATGATGCCTGCCAGATGCTTAGAGGTCAGACTGAAAAAGAATATGAAATCACCTGCTGTTCCAGGGCTCTCTTCTAGTCCAGCACAAGGTGGAGAAAAGCTAAGTAGGTGCCAAGCTGATTCCAGGTACTGTCAGCAAGAGGAGATGAAGATTAACAAAAATGCTCTGACTTTTTTTCTAGCAGTTTATGTAAGATAGGAAAATGGAGAGAATCTTAAGCAGGTTCAATAATTATCCAGTTGTCTGACTCTGTGGTCACCATACACTGCCAGACTAAATGGTAGATACTAATTTATGTATTTTGTTCTGTCTTACTAAACCTTACAATAAATACAGAACCTTCTACTGAAGGTCTTTATTGTCCAATATCCTGGATTGGAATAATTGGATAATAACAAAGAATTTTCTGGAACCTTAAAATCTACTTCAAAAGCAAGAGGTATACATACACACACATACAAACACACACTTAGCCATGTTGTCTATCTGTAACTTTTTTTATCCTTCTTCAACTTCTGCTTGTGAATTTTTTCACCTCTTCTCTTTTAATCATGCCTAAATAATAAACCATTACAGCATGTGCAGCAGTTTGTGGATCTTTTCAAACTAATAACTTACTCTGATTTCTTCACTTCTACTTGACTCATCAAATATATATGCAACTAACTTTGAACAAACTATTAACACCATAACCTTGCTACAGTTAGAATCAGCTTCATTTTCTGGAGTCATGTAACACAGTTGCTATGTAAGAAGAAATAGTCAGGAAGATGATTTTTCCCAACTAGACTTACAACAAGTTATAAAACCTGCAAGTATCTTTGGAAGAAATAAAAGTGTACAGTTTTGTTGGAAATGGTAGAATCCAGTATTGCTATTTGGGGAATTCCATAGATGCTAGAAATCCTTGAGAAGTAGGTAGTAAAAAGACACAGCATTTTTTTCCCTTTGTTCTAGTCTTTTCTTTCTTCTCTGGTTGCTGACAACATTGGGAAAAACTTAAGTGTTTCATTGTTATTTAAGTTGCTCTCTTCATGACACTACATTATGCTGAGTGTGAATTTATCAAAGGAGAAGTAAACATGATACAAACATGCTTTTATACTACCTTGGCTTCTTTGTGCCCTCAGTATTATCCTTGAAAGCACAGCTGAAAAGTGTTGGGGTTTTTTTTCATTTGTTATTATAACATGAATGTGAAAAAGTTGGTTGTTATCCTGAAAATAGAATAGAATATCTTACCTATCTGGTAGTTCCAAAACTGTCTTTTTCTTCAGTGAATGCTGTAGAAGCCTGCTGAAATTTGCTTTAGAAAGCTTAAAAAAAAAGGAATACTAATATATAAACAATTTTTAACCATTACCTAAATCTTTCTAGACATCACCTTAAATAGAATCATATGTCTTATAATTAAAAGGAATCCTTTCTTATAAATTATACTGCCATACCATAGATAGCTAAAAATTATGCATTAATATCTCCCTATTTTCAATCCTTAAATCAGTCTGGAAGTTCTAAAGGAATATCTTTCTATAAATTCTCTACCAATTACATTTTACCTATTTGCTGTTCTTAGCCCCTTTTTTTTTCCCAAGAGGCTATTCCACACAAGTACAGAATATGTATTTTGCACTTCGTGCCCGCCTCCCCCACTCCTCACTTTCTTGATAAGTGCATCTCAGTCTTTAAACCAGATTTACTTTCTTCAGAAGAAAGAGCTATATGAACTGCCTGACTAGAATCCTATGATTTTACTAAGGAACACACCCATCTAACGCTAGCAGTGCTTTCCTTTTCAGCAAAGGCTAGATAATTTGCATATTTATGAACTATTAAGCATCTTCTATACACTCCCCTCAGGAGGCTCAATAAAGACAAGAAATTATTTCTGCCCAGGTCACATTTATTAATTTCAGTCTCTGCATAAGATTTACAATTTACTGCAACGCAGGAGGGAGAACTGGAGCCAGGGTGAAAGGGGAGCATAAATTGTTTGCTTTTGCTAGTTTATATCATCCTCTCTTACCACTCTTAGTGTCTCAGGAAATTTATTTTATCTTCCTGTAATCACCTTCCTGGATGCAGTGGGTAAACAAGAAAATGCAGATAAAAGACAAACAAACATAAGGTCATGCCTTGCATGCTACAACCAGTATAAAATAAATTCAAGCTTGATTGAAGTTACTCATTAAAATACTGTTACTGCTGAAAGAGGTGGAGGGGTAGCTTTTTCAAGTGCAGTGTGAGAGATATAGGGTCAGGTAGTGAACTAAACTTTCTCCATAGGCTTGCAGATTCAGACCTCTGCTTGTGGAAGAATCTTCTTTGAAACATTCATTAGAGCAGACTAGAAAAAGTTAACTTAAAGCACATTCAGAGGAAGAAATTTGCAATGTAAAGTTTATTTTTTAAGAAGTTCTGACCAGTTTGTATTCACAAAAACTAAAACAAAGCCTAATTTGTAACTAAGGTAAAAGGATATCAATGGTTCTTTCTGTGATGTTTACTGGGAAATTGTATTCAATGGTTTCCAAGGTCTCTGTGGTAATTTTGTATTTTGCATAACACAGAGTGATGAAAGGAGTTTTGACCTTCGAACCCTCTCCCCACAAACATTTTTTCACATTTTATAACTGATGCAAATCCTAATTTAATGGCTGTTTTGGAATCTGCCCTTTTAAAACAAACAAGCAAAAAAAACAAAGACAAAAAAAAAAGCTGTGTGTGATCTAGACAGCTAAGGAATAAACTCGTTCTTCTTAGATGTTTCTTCTTGAGGAGGATTCATTCTTGATTCATTCTAGTTATGCAGAGATGGATAATTTGATTCACATCCAGAGAGAACTGGAGGCTCTTGTTTCTTCTTTTCCCCCCTGAAATTCTGCATTAATTGTGTTGTTTTTCTCAGTATAGATACTCTACTGACATTTTAGGATGTGTTAATAGTTCTAAACTTGGAAAAAATAGCAACTTTGTTGTTGTAAGAAAATTGCCATTCTGTAGTGGAAATACATGGACTTTTACTAAAGGCTTGTTATTCCACCTAATAGGAAGGTTTTGAACACATTTTAAAAATAAGCCCTTTTAAAGAGTAATCAGAAACAACTGTTCAGGTTACAAGTACTCTCTGCTGTGAAAATAGCTGTGTGCTGTCCTGGGTGACAGTAGCCTTGCCTATATCAAATTTCACTCTGAAGACAGGTAAAACCTCAGCTACCTCTGCAGCTGAACCTGTGGCCAATAACTAAGGCAGTGTCATCTTTGTTATTCAAAATACCATTAAATATTGAAACTAGCATGTGATTTAATCTTGTAAAATTGGAATAGACTGTCCAAAAAAGTAAACTGGCAAATGGGCAACCAGTTGAACATGTTATATTTTAATTTGCAGAGACAAAAATGACAAGCAATTTATTTACATAAAACTGTACAAAAGCAAATTAAATTATGTAAATATTTCATAAATAGAGGTGGACTAGCGTTTAATACATTTTGCCATGTTTAGCATAGTTGCGTGCATAGTGACTCATAATAAACAATGATAAATTGTTCTCTGCTTCACTATCAACATCCAAGTTGCAGAACAATAGTCAATGATTATTATTACAAACAGATCGTACCACACTGAATGCAAGTGCTTTAAAATTTAGGAAAAGTTGTCTGAAAGCATACCCCAGGTAGCTGGTGAATATTGTCTTCTTCCTAGTGCTTACACTCTTTCAGTCAGTAATACAACTTAACAGATGGGCTTTCATTTCTATTGCTTTTTCATCTACTTCTTTCTTAAGGAAACTCTGTGTATTTATCACCAATCAAACAGAAAGAAAAACATTTCGTTGTTCAACTTCCTTACAAGTATTTGGTGACGGCTGGATTTCTGGCAAGATCTTTATCCATATTCATGATTTTTCTGCTTTGACAACTTCTAGGGTAGCCTTTCAGCCAATCATTTCAATCCCATTTAAGTTTTTCCCCCACATAAAAATAATGTTTAACTTTTTCTCCTGAAACTCAGGCAGCAGGCCAGTCAGAAACCATATTCAATAAACATAGTGGGTCTGAGATCTGGAATAAGCCTTAGATTTTAGACCAAAGCTATTGAACTTTCTAATACATATAAAGTTATATATTAACGCATCAATCTATAAAGGTGCCCTAATGTAAAATACATGCAAAGCTCATTTGAGTTTCCCATGGAAGGAAAGAAAAAGATGATTTCTATACTGTACAAATAAAATGTGATGAAGGCTAAAAGCTATTAAAAAAGTTGTCAATTTTCCTGGCAACATGAACTGGTGACACCTTGCTAAATAACTATCATATAGACTGATCATACTTTTCCAGGCAGCAGAAGTAAAAACAAATTAAAACAACCCCAAACCCACACAAATAGTAATTAAAAAAATCCTCAAGACCTACTTAAACCACAGCCTTGTGTTAATAATGCTTAAGACTGGTCCATTAACTGAGTTTGGCAAAAGGCTTGTTTTTAAATATATTATTTATAATTTCTCAGAAAATAAACACAGGTAAATATACAGGTTCAAAAAAGTTGGGAATAGCCCCTTACCCCTCAGTGTCCAAACCCAACTACCACTTTACCATAATAATAGGTATAAAAGGCACAGTTGCATATTTTGCATTCACCCTAATTATTTTTATAGCTTTATTTGTTTATTTTTTATACAAAAGCACTCTATTTATGGAGTGGCACCAGATTTAACCTATTTCAAATAAAGAGGAAAAATACAAACACAAAATATATTTGTATGTCATGCCAGGTCAGAAGAGTAATCAGCATATTAATAGTGGCTAGTTCCACAAGAATTACTGTGAATACTTACAGTAGATAGAATTTTTAAAAAATTTTTTCACGCATTTTAGATCTAAGGAGATGCACACAAGAAAATTATTTCATGACTGTCTTATGTGGTGCAAAAATTGGTAAGTGACTGCTGATCCATTTAATCTGAAGGTCTATTATGACCTGTATTATTAGCCTTGTAGAAAAAGTGTCTAAGAATATATGGAACCCAGCTACCTAATTTATTTTCTTGTGTGTAATATTAAATAAAATCCTATTAAAGGAAGTTCTGTTGAACATTTGTGTTATGCAATCGTGTATTCTTTTGAAACGTGCAAGAAAAATGTGTTTACATTACATAAGCATTTTTAGAAGCATTTTTAAACAGATACTTACAGATTATACAAAGCAGTAACTGCTATACGCAGTCTCATAACAAAGTACTAGCTTGCATCTCCCCGTATTACTTAAATAATTAAACATAAAAATGTTCAATCGTTAATAATCTTTGATTTTAATATTTTCTTTCTAAAATGTGCCCATTCATCATAACTACTATACACACTAAACTAATGTTACTTGAAGAAAGTAAACTTTAGAGAGGAGAATGAAAAGGCCAATAATGGCACAACCCATAATATGGAGAAGTGAATTCAAAAGATAAATGTGATGAGTTGTTTTGATTTTCCAACCTCTACCTTAGGCTTTTTAAGGTTATTTTTATGCAATTCTTCAAAGCAAGAAACTACCCAAAGCTACATTATGAGTACAGTTACTAGAGAGCCATCTAGCCATGCCTTCACACCATTTCAACAGCCAGGAATCTGAATGCTTTCTCCATCCTTGAGCTGTCCTTGCTGTGTTGTTTGATTGTCACATTTGTCTGAATGTCTGAGCTCAGTCTGTGATTATTAATACAGCATCAACTACAAAGCAATTGGTTGATGTTCTGCATGTTTTGTTGCTTTTATTGCACAAAACCCTGTTTCATTTCCTCTTCCTTTCAAGAAGCAATCACCATGATAATTGTTACAGCTCTTGCACATCATAACTTGGACTCTTTTTAACTCCTCTTGACCTTCTAGGTATCATACCACTGTTTATCAGGCCATTTTGTACTAATGCTAAATGTTCTGAGTCTTGATATCATTTAGTATTGCACTTTTCTTGGTTTTAATGCACTTGGTTTCAAGAAAGCTTTCATTATCATCATCTTTGACATAATTGAAGCAGTTGATAAGCTGCAACACTGATGACCAGACTTAGCAACCATGCCTTGCAATCTGAACAGAAGCTTTTATATCTGAGTTGTAATGTCCTCTTGTTACTGCATTATCCCATTGTCCACATTTTTCCCTCTCATCAAGCATTCCCACTAACATGGCTTTCTCTTCTACTATTAGTTTTTAATTTTGATCTTAAAAATTCCCTGGAACTAGCATATGCAGCATATCATATGCAGCATGTGCTGCAATGTATCATGTCATTACAAAAAAAGCATCAGTTCCTTTGGGCATTCAACTGAACCACACTGGAAAAAAAAATTGTCATCTGGGCTTGTGAACTGTGCTGCTGCATAGAATGTAACTGAAACTTTGTTATGAGTGCATGTGGTTTTTTGTGAATACATTTATTTTCTGAGTCAAGCCCCAATACTTAGCAGTTCCCCTGATCCATTGTGTGATCTTTGGCCTTTTTGTTATTACAATCTTCCCAGCTAAATGTTAGTCTTGCCCAAAATAATTATTTCAAGAGTTTATCATTGCTATCCTATGGTATAAGTGTTAGTAATCGTGTTTACATTGAAATAATCATTACAGAGAACAAGAGAGAAAGAGAAAGAGACACAGCAAGACAGGTTTTTTCAATGGATAAAACAGAACCAGAGTCCATGAATCACGGGAAAGTATGCCATGTTTTTGACTGCAGTCTCAGGCTGAATGTATTTCTGTTGCTTCCAGCCTCAGATGAGAGGTGAGAATATTAAAGCTGTGGTCTTCACAAAGTGCCTATTAATGATTATTCCTTTATATTTATCCTATATCTTTATGGTTTCTGAAGGATAGTCCCTGATGGGGATCAGCAATATTCAGATGGTATGTTTTGAATACATTTTCCCTGACCTGTTATCCTTAACAAGCCAGATGACAAACAAACAAAATGAGTGGCTTAATTCATGCTTCTGCAGAGGGGAAACAACAGTGTGTCGTGTTCTTTTTAATCAAGCTTGCTACTATGGGAGGAATTTGCAACCATAGATCTAGGAAAATAAAAATCAGCGAGGGGGAATTAGACATGCAAGTAACAGCAATGTTTTCTACATTGTACAGTATAGTCAGGCAGACAGCATAATTACATGCCTGCTATGGAGGCAGAAGTGGCAGGCAGATCTTTTGTCTCTTTGGTGGCCCCCTCGTTATTGTTTCACATTTTTTCTTAAAATTGTTGTAATTTTAAGACTTTTGCCCCATTTCTTTCTTATATTATGAAAGAACTTTGTTGCTGCTTTTTAGCCTACAGGTAAACTTCTCTTCTAGTTAGAGTATTGACAGGAGATGGCTTGTATTCCCCTGTCTGTGTAAGGGGGATATCCTCTGGGTTGCCTTCTTCATTTTTGCTGAAACTAGCTGCGCTGAAGGTCTCATAGGATGAGGTCAACTTTTTGTTAAGGAGGTTTCTGTTGCGGTCACCCATGAGGGAGGCTTCTCCATTGGCCAGCTTTTCCTGACTGCCCCGTTCATCAACAGGCATGAAAGTGGAGAGTTTTGGCTGGCTCTTCTGCTTTCTCTCCGGAGAAGTGCGGACTGGCATCCAGCAGGAGTCTGAGTGGCCATATTCATCACATTCTCGGGTGCACTTCCCTGTTAGGGCTACATCTGGTAGAGGCCGTGAATCTGAAAATAAAAGAGAGTTGTCTTTACAAATTAATATTACAGTGACTTCCACTGAAACTGAGAATCCTTGCATTCACAAAAGGTATTTTTAAAGATCTTGGTAGGAATGTGGCAGTAAGTTCCTCAGTAATAATTTTTTCAATTGCATGTGCCCAGAGGCAACAAGCAGATCTGTACAGTTATTCTCAACCTTAATAACTGGGAAAAAAAGGGTTATTAATCCTTTTCCTGTGCCTGTAAATCAATTCCAGAAGCATTTGGCATTATGTACTGAATTAATTTTGATGTCTGAAAGAGTCAAAGAAGCAGTTAATTCCATACTGCCAATTTTCTAGAAATTATTAAAAATACCTTTCCTTGAATTCTTTTGTAAAGACTACTCTGAATTTATGTGGAAGGATCTTACACCCTGCAAATACTTACAAACATACTTAATGCCCTGGAAATGAGCAGATCCGTTATTGACAAAGGGATTGAATTTTCATATAATGTAACCCCTGCTTGTGTTTCTGAGGATTGGACACTTGAGCTGTTAGTCCACAATATGTTACGTAAGTTGTACAATCAGTAATTGCAGAAGCATACAAAACCTCTGCTATGGGTTATAAACTTTATCAACAGTACAAATAAAGCTGTTCTGTGTGTATATGTGCATGGTAGGGCATGGGATGAATCTGAGTGCTGCCTAAAGAGAAACATTTTATATGTGACTAGCTGTGTTGGAAGGTGTCCTGCTCCTGTTCACTACGTCTAAATTTTCTCTACTTGTAAGAGCTTTCACCCAAAACCAGCAAAGTTCCAAGGCCCGCAGGATTGACTCCTCCCTGTTTACAAAGCAGGTATATTGAATATTTGTATCTTTATATTTGCATGCAACTGAATTTAAAAACTACCTCAACTATTTTAAGGAATGGGTAAGATTCTTAAACCTTGCTTTTATTCAGTTATAGTGTACTTTATCGTCTAAAGGAATAACTGAAACTGCCTACAAAGGAAGAACATTATATTCAAACAAAGTTGACAAAGAACATAAATCAAAAAATAAATTTTTCAAGTGTGTTTGATATGATGTTCATTTAACATGATTTATTTGATGAAATATTTAGGTTTGTTTTATAAAAAGAACCAATTATTTTAGAAGGGAGCAAGGAACTTCAACATGGAAACATAACCAGGTACGTCATATGGGCTGTGGCATCTTTCTACCTTCTGACTACAATACCAAAGTTCTTGTGAACAGTAATTTTTGCTAGTAATAAAATGTGTTATACAAACTTATAAAAGCTCCTGCCAAGGCCTGCTCAGCCTAGCCTTCATTCTGTTACTTTGTTTTGCCTATTTTTCTTTGATTTTGACTGATAGAGTACCTTCTCAAATGATGACAATTTCAGCTGTGATTTTTTTTAATAAATTGATACAAAAGACCACTCTTGAAGATAAAAAAAAAATCAAACAAAAAAAATAACCAAAACCCCAGAACCAAATATCCTTCACTCTTCAAGAATAAACCACTTTAATTTAAAATTTTTAAAGCAGGTGCTCGCAGAGAAAGCATATTTCATTTCAAAATGGATTTAATCCTGATAGAATTACAAAAGCTCTTGAAAGTCAGATTTATCTTCATCCTGTCCCGATTTTTTTTCCAGGCATTCAAACTTTAATTTAATAAATAATTTTTTGCAGTATTTTAAAGAGTGTGTATTTGCTACTATTTGCTACTGACAGGTGTCAACATTTAATAGAATTTACTGTATGTATTCTGAATACTGTATAAAATTTCATATTTCAATGAAATATCCATGATTTTAATGAGGAAACAGTCCTGGTGTCTAGATAACTGAGTAACCCTGTAACTAAGATGTGTAAGGCCAGGAGGAGGGAACTGAGTGATTTTTTTCTTTTTACATTTTTTTCCCCAATTTATTTTTAAGGCTTTCTTGCTTAGGCAGAATTCCTAATTTATTTTTTTTTTTCCCCAATATAAAATGCAATTGTATGAAAATTTATCAGCCTATCAGTATTCAGGTGACTGTGTTCTGCAAACATACACAGAATATGGGGAGAGTTACGGGAAAATCCTCTGTCAGATAAATCAGCATTATTCTGACTCTCCCTAATGATGAGAAGCATAATTAACTGCTCAGCTGCCCTGATATTCTTTGAGTTTTTAGCAGAATTTTTCATATTTTTACAACAGGGCAAACTCCCTTACACCTCTATAAATTATTTCAACCAACATTTTATTTCAAAAAAAAAACCCAAAAAAACCCCCAAAAACCCTGGCCATTAAACATTATGCTTTCTTCAAGTATTTTAATTATTACTCTGACATAATATTAGATCAAGGCAGTTTGTTTGACCTTTATTTAAAACATAAGAGTATATGTGTCTTTAAAGATTTTCTTTTGTTTTCTTTTGAGTTTGGGTTTTTTTCCAAGATTGAAATAATTAGCATCTCATTATATCTGATGGAGTCTTTCTAACTGAAAAAAAATTTGAATTGGCAATACATGGGTTCATGAAAATCCTCCCCTTGCTGCTGGCCTTTGAATCATGCACTTGAAAATGCACCCTTTTGCATTGTAGTGCTTTTCCTGTTCACTTTCAGACAAGTACTGGAACTCCTTATAGGGAAGCATGAGGACTTAATGTGCAATGCAGCCTTATAATGCTGTTTTAAGAAGCAAAAACCTCCATGTCCGTGTGTTGCTGAGTTGCCCTGTTAGGTTATATGATAAATTTCATCTTCACACCCATAGAAGGGCTCAGAGAGACACTGGAAGAACAATACTAGCTCAAATAATACCCCAACACAGGGTCCACCACAGGGCAATCAGACCCTCAAAGGTCCATCTGTCCAGGCCCAGAAGAGCACAGGGGTGTATAGTAGCAGATAGCAACTCAAAACAATGATTCAGAAGGAAAAATCATCTTTCTGTGTAATGCTGGGGATTGCTGTCTAGGTATATAGAGCAAATTATAATATATAGAGAAAAGGAATTTGGGATAGCAAAGGACTTAGGTGATGTTTAGGGGAGAAACCATCAGGAAGACAAATGAGGAGTTTAGGTGATAGAGAGGAAATAGAGATATATCTTACAGCCTTCTATTCCATTGCTTTCTTCCATCTTTTCTAAGAGTTTGAATCAGCATTTGAGTACAGATTTAATCTAACATGGTTTGAAACCTGTTGCATTTGAATCTCTCATCTCTTTAAAAGATTGACATACTGAAACTAGTGGGTTAAGGGAAGATGGGGAGCTTTCTATATACTGAACTTGATAACAGTGATTTAACCTCTAATTTGGATAAACTGCCATGCCACTTTAGCTACACAGTAACTGCATTTTTGCTCATTCACTGAAACAGATCAACCCTCTTTTGCAGAGTAGAGACTCTATAGGCAACATTCTAAATTGCCTAGCCCATGGAGTTTTGAACAATCTCCAAATTTGAAAATAGAAATAAATTTACTCATGTCCTCCAGTATAATTTGCATTGAAACATATCTATCTCTAAGCTAAATGCTTTTCTTAAGTGCTTCTCTATTTAAAAGTTAAATACTCCAGTAGTGACCCCACTGAGAACTGACAAGTCTAATGGAATATGACACAGCCAACAATTTGTCAGCAGAATTGGCAAATCATCAAGGAGCAGCACAACAGATTCCTACTGCAGTTACATATCTGGAAACCAAGTTAAATTTGTACATAAAATGCCCTTTATTAACCAAAAAAATTTGACAATGTTAATCAGTAGAGAAAGATATAGAATTGGCAAATCATCAAGGAGCAGCACAACAGATTCCTACTGCAGTTACATATCTGGAAACCAAGTTAAATTTGTGCATAAAATGCCCTTTATTAACAAAAAAAATTATCGCAATGTTAATCAGTAGAGAAAGATACGTGATATTTCTTGTTATACTGAAATCTGTAAATTTGGGATTAGGTTCTAAGAGTTTGTATAGACTAGTCAAATTCAACCTTTTATCTGCACAAAAATACAATCAGAAGATGTCATCAGAAGGATTCCTCTTAGTTATTTTTGAACATATCTTCTTATGGTATCTCTAGATAAGAACTTGACACAACCATGGGCAACCCACTCCCTAAAATGCAGATATTTAGAAAAAAAAATTTAGGCATACATATAAATGGAAATTTCAAAATTTAATACTTTTAAAACAGATTTCACTTTTCAGACTTGAGCGTGAGAAAAAATTGGAAAACATTAATTTAAAGGGCCTTAAAATCTATTTTGTCATTATATCTGATAGAAGCTTCCACCACAAACTTTTGAAATTTATCTGATAGAAGTTAGGCATTTTTTTAAACTTTAGTAACTATTCATCCAATACATCCTTAAACATTTGCAGCTAATTTCTGAGACAAAAATATGCTTTATGTTTCACATAAAACTTTGTACAAAAGAATATAAGTGATTGGAAATATTTATATGTATGCTAATGTTTCTACTGATTGTAGGTGACTGTTTCCCTAGGGCTAGGAGGGTTGTTATTTATCAAAAGGGAAGGCACCTACCACTGCAGGCTGGACAAGGGAAAGATGATGTTCTATCTCCAGTTTAATGCCAAAGAAACTAACTGAAATATTCCAACCAAGCAGTTTTCCACTATTTTCTCTCCTCCTATTGTTGATCAAAAGAGGTCAATATATTTCATCAAAGATATAAACAGTATTATGAACTCAGTAGTCAACAAGTACACCTGGGGATTGGAACTAGATGATTTTAAGGTCCCTTCCAACTCTATCCCTTCTATGGCTCTTCATGTTATAAGTTATGTGCTTTTATTTTAAACACACATTGCAGAAATATAGTCAAGAATGCTCACTCTAGCTCCACTCTACACATTTTTAAGAACCATTCTTGTACAATATATTTTATTGACCCACATCTAGTCACAACATGATTCTAGCACAGACACTGGGGAAAAATATAAAGAGCTTTTCACGTTTTCATTTTTGTAAACCACATGC